ATGGAGCAAGAAAACTCTATGAAAAGATGGTGGTTCAATTCGATGTTATTTAAGAAGGAGTTCGAACACAGATGTAGGCTAAGTAAATCAATGGGCAGTCTTGGTCCTATTGAAAATGCCAGTGAAAGTAAAGATCCGAATAGAAATGATACGGATAAAAACATTCAGGGTTGGGGTGGTCATGACAATTACAGTAATGTTGATCTTTTTTTTGGCGTCAAGGACATTCGGAATTTTTTCTCTGATGATACTTTTTTAGTGAAATATAGTAATGGGGACAGTTGTTCTATATATTTTGATATTGAAAAGAATATTTTTGAGATTGCCAATGATCATCTTTTTTATAGTGAACTAGAAAGTTCTTTTTATCGGAATTCTAGTGATCTGAATAATGGATCTAAGAGTAAGAATCCCGACCACGATCGTTACATGGATGATACTCAGTATACTTGGAATAATCACATTAATAGTTGCATTGACAGTTATCTTCAGTCCGAAATCTGTATTGATAATTACATTCTAAGTGTTAATTACAATTCCAGTAACGATAATTCCAGTAATGACAATTCCAGTAATGACAATTCCAGTAATGACAATTACAGTAATGATAATTCCAGTAATGACAATTACAGTAATGACAATTACATTTCTAGTTCCATTTGTAGTGAAAGTGAAAATATTAGTCAAGACGAGGATATCACAACGGATGATGAAACTATACCAGAAAGTTCTACTCATATGGGTGTAACTCAACAATACCGGCATTTGTGGGTTCAATGCGAAAATTGTTATGGATTAAATTATAAGAAATTTTTTAAATCAAAGATGAATCTTTGTGAACAATGTGGATATCATTTGAAAATGAGTAGTTTAGATAGAATCGAACTTTTGATCGATCCGGGCACTTGGGAGCCTATGGATGAAGACATGGTCTCTCTGGATCCCATTGAATTTCATTCGGAGGAGGAGCCTTATAAAAATCGTATCGATTCTTATCAAAGAAATACAGGATTAACCGAGGCTGTTCAAACAGGCAGAGGGCAACTAAACGGTATTACCGTAGCAATTGGGGTTATGGATTTTCAGTTTATGGGAGGTAGTATGGGATCCGTAGTCGGGGAGAAAATTACCCGTTTGATTGAATACGCTACTAAAGAATTTCTACCTCTTATTATAGTGTGTGCTTCCGGAGGGGCACGCATGCAAGAAGGAAGTTTGAGCTTGATGCAAATGGCTAAAATATCTTCTGCTTTATATGATTATCAATCAAATAAAAAGTTATTCTATGTACCAATTCTTACATCTCCTACTACCGGTGGGGTGACAGCTAGTTTTGGTATGTTGGGGGATATCATTATTGCCGAACCCAATGCCTACATTGCCTTTGCGGGTAAAAGAGTAATTGAACAAACATTGAATAAAACAGTACCCGAGGGTTCACAAGCGGCCGAGTATTTATTCCAGAAAGGCTTATTCGATCTAATCGTACCACGTAATCCTTTAAAAAGCGTTCTAAGTGAGTTATTTCAACTACACACTTTCTTTCCTTTGAATCAAAATTAGAACATTAAGTTCAATTATTTTGAGCAAACAAGTAATTAGTTTATCGGAATCCAAGTTAAAATTAGACGAATGGGGTTTTCTTTGTTGGCATAAGATCTAATTATATAAAGAATCAAAAGTCACAGAAAATCCGCCCCTTTTCTATATTCCTGATTATTGATCAAGAAGCCTCTATTAACAAGATAAAAGATGAAATTCTTATTTTCGTGAAATTAGGCAAATCAAAAAAATATACTCTTCTCGTCATATATAATGAAAATCTATAAAATATAGAATTTTTTCTTTTTTTATATCTTACGATAATCCTATTTTGACTAAGAATCCCTGATGGATGGGATTCTAACAAACCCTTCAATATATTCAATATAATTATAAATATAAATAGAATCTAATTAATTTTTAAGAAACTTTTTGCTTAGTAAATGAAATTCGAAGACAAGAGCAAAAAATGAAGAAAAGAATATCTCATCCATATCCTTTCAAATCTTTCATGTAGAAAGATCAAAAACTACATTATATACTCACTTAGATAGATACTTATATTTATACTTAATAGCTATTAAGTAATAATAATAATTCCAATTTAGAATTATCAAATTATAATAAGATATCTTTATATATAATAAGATATCTTTATATTATAAATATAAAATATAAATAATAATAACAGGTACAAATAGTAAATCGAGGTAGCCATTCTATGACAACTCTTAACTTTCCCTCTGTTTTGGTGCCTTTAGTAGGCCTAGTATTTCCAGCAATCGCAATGGCTTCTTTATTTCTTCATGTTCAAAAAAACAAGATTGTTTAGAGCCGATGGCACAAAATCTCATCTATTTTTTTTTTTTTTCAAAACTGACGCTTGTATCATAACACAGATATCTATTTAGCAAAATATGGTATAAGCGGCTTCCGCCGAAAAACTCTTATGTCTCCAGAAAATGCTATAGGGATCAATGGATTCTAGCTATTTTCAAATAGACCCGAATTGACGGATAGCTGAACTGTAAAGTTGGTCTATCTATTTGGCTATCTTTAGTGAGATCGTACGAAGGGTATGTTATTAGTTTAGATCTAACGAATTTAATGAATTACTCCTAAAGGATCACATCAAACTAGTGCTAGTTGATGCGAGTTACTTCGGAAAAAAAAAGGACTAAAGTCAAATTCATTTGGGGTATTCTCTCAATTCCAAAAAAAATCAACTGGATCAAGTATGAGTTGTCGATCAGAACATATATGGATAGAACCTATAACGGGGGCTCGAAAAACAAGTAATTTCTGCTGGGCTGTTATCCTTTTTTTAGGTTCATTAGGATTCTTGTTGGTTGGAACCTCGAGTTATCTTGGTAGAAATTTGATATCTTTATTTCCGTCTCAGGAAATAGTTTTTTTTCCACAAGGAATTGTGATGTCTTTCTACGGAATCGCGGGTCTTTTTATTAGCTCCTATTTATGGTGCACAATTTCGTGGAATGTAGGTAGTGGTTATGATCGATTTGATAGAAAAGACGGAATAGTGTGTATCTTTCGTTGGGGATTTCCTGGAAAAAATCGTCGGGTCTTCCTACAATTTCTTATAAAAGATATTCAGTCTGTCAGAATAGAAGTGAAAGAAGGTATTTATGCTCGTCGTGTCCTTTATATGGATATCAGAGGCCAGGGAGCCATTCCATTGACTCGTACTGATGAAATTTTACTCCACGGGAAATGGAACAAAAAGCTGCTGAATTGGCCTATTTCTTGCGTGTACCAATTGAAGTATTTTAAGAAATGAGCCGGAATGCTTTCTCAGCAGGAGGGCAAAAACGCAAGAATGCTCTTTTTCCATAACATAACTTAATTGAGGTTTCTTCAGAACATTCATTCGAGTCAAAGCAGACATATATGGAACAAGTATAAAAAAAACTATTTTGGGGATCTTTTAGATGTATCGATTTAGATGTATCGAAATATACATAACTCAATTCAATAAAAAAATAAGAAACAAATCGAAATATCTCATAATCAACCATTTAGAAATAAGGAAATTCCACCCCTTTTAACTTGTTGGAATTGAGACTTTAGAGATCATATCTTGTAATTTTTTCGAAGCTTATTTTTTATACTTTTTGTGCTCCTTAATGACCAAAAAATTGAATCTCTTATAATGATAATTAGCAAATTTATGTCGTTTTTTGTCACTCATTTTTCACAATATTCTTCAGAAATTTCCCTCAATTATTCTATCCCTGACTACTCAGAGTAAGTTCAATTTTTTCGAAATATTAGAGATTTTATATAATGATAGAAAAGGAGTTCTTTCGTCTCAAAATCTGAATAATATTATTCATTATTTCAATTTTTCTGGGCATTCATCGAAAGGAGATATGTGCTTCGAATTTGACCAATTGAGATATAGGTAAACATTCTTTTTGATTATTTATCCATTCCATTTTTCGTCTATTTCTGTATTTTTTTTCTAAATTCATAGGTTCGATAACTTGTAATAGAACTGATGCGGGAGAGAAATATTAGATTACATAGAGTCGACGAATGAGATAGGTTCATTAACAATTCAGAGATGAAAAAATGGAAAAAAAGAAAGCATTCACTCCTCTTTTATATCTTGCATCTATAGTATTTTTGCCCTGGTGGATTTCTCTCTCATTTCAAAAAAGTATGGAATCCTGGGTTACTAATTGGTGGAATACTAGGCAATCCGAACCTTTTTTGAATGATATTGAAGAAAAGAGTATTCTAGAAAAATTCATAGAATTAGAGGAACTCCTCTTCTTAGAGGAAATGATTAAGGAATACTCGGAGACACATCTACAAAACCTTCGTATAGGAATTCACAAAGAAACAATCCAATTAATCAAGATACACAACGAGGGTCGTATTCATACGATTTTGCACTTCTCGACAAATATAATCTGTTTCATTATTCTAAGTGGTTATTCTCTTTTGGGTAATAAAGAACTTGTTATTCTTAACTCTTGGGTTCAGGAATTCCTATATAACTTAAGTGACACAATAAAAGCTTTTTCTCTTCTTTTATTAACTGATTTATGTATCGGATTTCATTCGCCCCCATGGT